TTCCTCATATAGTCAAATTATGCCTTGATAATCGCAAATGTCGTTTTGAAAATTGTCAAATCGACCGAGTATGTATAAATACTTATAACCATGTAAATCTAATTCCATTGAAAAACAAACACTTCTTCCTCCTCACAGCCCTTCATAAAACCATCGGATCCACCTTTGTTTACAAAATTCACCTGTCCGATTTGAAAACGTCGGTGTCGTAAATAATGTTATCGACACGGCAGTCGAAGCGTATTTACACCACTTGTACTATGGACCTTGATGCAAAATAATATTCCCAGATGGAAAGCAAAATGTCCGGGGCACTAACCGATTCCTTACAATGAACGTGAAGCTATGACGCGTGAGTTTTTTCTATTTATTTTAATTTATACTAAATAGATTACTTAAAAGGTGCAGGACTAGAAGAACATATTAGAACACAATCGTTCTATAAGAACGAAAAGTGTAACTTATTATTTGTAACGATCGCTCGTTTGGAATCCAGTCAGAAAATCCTAGCGAAAAGATCGATGATCTGCACTGCAGTTGAATTTTTTTCCCCATTTATGAATTGCCCAGAGAAGAGTTCGGATTTAATCTTTTGTGATCTATTGCCCATTCATTAAATAATAAAAATTCATTGGAATAGGGAAACATCCTTAATTTTTATTCAACAACCAAACTCTCAATTGTTATGCTTCACGGATAACATAAGAAAATAGCTGTATAACAGTTTTATTGATTTTTAAAACTATTTATTATTTAAAAAACCTAAATGCCTTTTATTTATTAGTGGGAAATTAATTCATGATGATAGAACGAAGGGGGATACTGAGGAGGAAAGCCCCCCCCCAACGAGAAAACAGTTTTCTCATTTTCAAACGATTTCTCTCAAATTCCCGGAGTCTTTCAATGAATAAATGTTGAATTTTTTCTCTCGAGAAAAATAACGAAATTAAAAACGAGATGTCTTCTTTAAGTCGGACCAGATTAATGTTTTTCCCTGTATTTCTGGGGTGGGGGAAGTATCAAAATGATGAAAAAGGTGAACATTTACGGTTTAATCAATCAAAAATTTATTTTTAAATAATGATAAAGCCAGTTTTCAAGAAACTATCACCCTAATTTTCCTGATGACCCTTGAATCAACTTACTAGTGTCACCCTTGGATGTCTCTAAAATTATTCAACTTAAAAAATGTATTTGTATTTTGTTTTAAGATAAAAAAGAGTTATCTCTAAAACTTTTCATCTTAAAAAAATCTATTTGTATCTTCCTTTGAGAAAAAAAGAGGAAACGAGAGAGAAAGAAGGATCAATAATTATTGTCAGCTTAGTAGTAGTATTCTCCAGTTTTCTCTATAACTATTCAACTTAAAAAATTCTCTTTCAATTTGATTTTGAATAAAAAAACAGTTATGAATAGGGGAGATGAGAGAGAGAGAGAGAGAGAGAGAGAGAGAGAGAGAGAGAGAGAGATAGAAAGAGAATATAGAGTATTAACTTACTAGTGTCATCCCTGGTATTCTGTAAAACTACTTGCCAAGAAAAAAAATTATATTTTTATTTTCCTTTCGAATCAAAAAAGTTATGAAAAGCGGTGTTTGAGAGAGAGAAAGGGAGAGAGACAGCGTGAATATGTGTGTGAGTGAGATACAATCAACTTAACAGTGTGACTCCTGCTTTTCATGTAACCAAATAAATATTTAAAACATAAATTATAAATCATTTACATTTTTTGCTGAAACAAAGCATGATTTATAATACCGAAACACCGAAAAAAAATTAAATACCCAATTGGGAAGTTTTATATTAAAAGTACAACCAGACACAGCCTATTGATAGGACAATGACATTTTTTTCATATGGGTATTTCAATACTAAACCAGATTTACTACTAGTACTTTGGATGTTGATAAGCGAATAGTAAGAAGAGGAGTTTGTATTCCCCAAAGAGCTGATTATTGAACTTTCCCTAGTTCCTTAGCTCAGTTCAGTTGACTCGATCTTAACTTTAAGAAGTACTAATTTTTTTCCCCGTCTCTTCTTGGTACCATAGGTTATGTCTGAACTGAGCGGTTGCTTGGTATGCGAAGAAAATATAGATTCCTTCTCGTTGCATAACCTACAAATGAGGTGAGGTCATTATTGAATATTCCCATAGTAGGTGCTTTCTCCTCCGATATTTAACCCTATTACTGACTTTTACCCTGTTTAACTGTAGCATTGAGTTTGTCGGTTTTGATGAGGGCCCTTTTTATCATGAGTTGAGGTCCTTGAGTTAACTATATCCGACAGCTCTTAATTTGGTTTTTGTGAACCCGTTCTGAGATGGAGGAGTCCATCTTTTGATGTTGTTATCCGAAGAGGTTTTGCAGTTCCACTGACTAGTTTGTCTGCTTGTTCATTATACAGAATTGCTTTGTGCCATTGCCCAAGGTAATAATTCCATAGATTGATTTCCCAGATTTTGTAATGGGTGGAGGCCATTATTAAGTTTCATCTGCACTGTACGATAGATGACGGATTTAAAATCATTCTCAGTTTCTTTCTCGTGTTGCTCTTGTCCATAGTGACCACGCGATGCGAACTATTATTGACTTAAACTTCTTTTTCTGTATATAATTAGTCAGGTACTCGTTGTACAGCATGTTGGTGGGATTGATTTTCCACTGATGGTTGGCAAAACATTGTACTTGTATAAGAGTGAGGCAGTTGTTGGTTGGTGTGTGTGTGTGTGTCTGTGTGTGTGTGTGTGTGTGTGTGTGTGTGTGTGTGTGTGNTTCACTAAAGCTCTCCGTGGCCATTTCATTTGTTGCCGAGAATGAAATTGATTACACGACATTTGAAAAATGGCAAAAAGGAGGGAAAATTCGAAAGGTGGGGTTGAGATGGGAAGTTCGTGTCCGAGTGGATAGAGGTCACGATAGCTCAAGTGGTAGAGTAGCGGCGTATCCAGCCGAAGGTCGTGGGTTCGAATCCCCCTCGTAATACTAGCTTTTTTATTTCAACCAATACCTTCCATAAAGATTAATTAATTGAATCCCTCTCGTGACTCTGACTTTTTTATCTCAACTAAAAACCTTAATTAATTGAAAGATATTAACTACACAAAAACATTATTAACATGCGGACCACGAAAACTAGTGAATTTATATAGGCAGTTAAATCATCCGAGTAAAGCACAATTATTGACTTTTTATGTTGCTATCAAGAAGAAAGACTTTGTTAGCTAAGTAAAATCATAAATCGGATTACTTTTGGTTTGTGTGTGTGTGTGTGTGTGTGTGTGTGTGTGTGTGTGTGTGTGTGTGTGTGTGCGCGCGTGTGTGTGTGTGTGCGCGCGTGCGTGCGTGTGGTTCCTGTGTGCTCATGCTTATTGTATTTTTTCGCCCTCCCCCTCATAAACCTGTATAAATATTGTTCCGCCTTTATATTCCACCAGTGGGTGTTAATTTAAATAATAATAATAATGATTTTTAGTATTGGGTCGTTGAAGTGAGCTCAGTGACTGAGCCGCACTTGTGAATAAAGGATATAACTTGAACTAACGAAATTCCATTGGCCGCATTCGAACTTCCGACCTTGGTGGCAGAACTCCAAGGACTCGTGACTCCCGCCAAAATCCTCAATAGCGTTCTTAACCGATCGTCTTCGTGGAATTAATATATCCTTTATAATTTTATTATTAAATGGCGAAACAGGGTGGTTTTTAGATATTTTTAAAAAAAATCTTTCTATTCGGCCCGAGATGATGGCTTACCGAGGTGGGGAAGGTATCGTTAAACGTTTATTTAATTTAGAACTTATTCTCTCGAATTGTCAAATAATTATCTAGCTAATAAAAAGCTACCGTTCAGTATTAATTTCCATTGCAAACTCGAAAGTTTAAAAAGTTGTAGGAGACAATAAATAGTGCCATTTTCAAGCTAGAAATTTTATTTTTTCGCCATCTTCAGTCTGTGAAGTTTTTTTATATAACAATTTATAAAAGTAGTCCGTAAAAAATAAAAATTTCGCAAATATTACCTCGTCCCAAAACTGAATCGAAATGATGAAACACTTCTGGCAGACCCGGCATTGGGCAGGCCAAAATGTTAGCCAAATTACAGTTCGTCATCCCGCTGCCACAGGAGGAAATCTCACAATGTATAGATTATAGATATTAAAAAATCACAAATCCTCTTGTAATAGCTTTCATTAAAATACAAAGTATGGTTGAGTTGAAAATTTTGTATCACAAGCGGGACTCGATCTCACTACCTCGTGGAGGTCGGTACCCCAGCGCTTCTACCAATTGAGCTGTCGTTACAAATGTCAACCGTAACGATTTAAGTAATTACTTTTGTTAATTGGACCAACTAAAAACATATAAATTAATCTTGTAATAGTTTAATGTTTGAAACGGCAATCTCTGATCTGGCTTTATTGTCCGTCTGTTCGCGCTGCTTCTATTACTCTTTCGGCATTTCAAAGATTTACGATTGTTGCATTGCGTTGATAAATATTTTAGCTTAACAAGACTTTATTATTATAATTTTCATAACAGCTCGCGGTTCTCGTATACTAGCGAGAATGATTTTTCTTGTCACTATTATTACATTTCTGCTGTTTTCTTTTAGAACACTAATTTTTTTCTCCCTCATTTCGTGTTACAGAATATCCTGGAAATGCTTAGAAAACTATTTTCAGTCTGTTTAAACAGCCTGTAAAAACAACATTCAGATATCCCACGTGCCATTATTTTATAAACAATGTTTACTTTATTTCAGTATTCTAGGCAAATATAAACATTAAATTGTGTATTTATGGTTTAATTAATTGTCCAATGTTTGTGCTGTACATTGGTTAATTTAGTAAAAAATTTATTTTTTAATTATAAGTCCAGTTAGGATAAAGAAACCAAGTTCGATTTTTTATTTTGTTTTATTGATTTTTATTTTCACAATTTTTTTTTGTGAAATTAATTTTCACTTTTTAATTTTTATTTTTGTTTCAACTTGGTTTCAGGTCTGAAAATATTATACACCGGCATCTATTAAACGAAAAATACCCAGGCTGTCCACAGATTCATATTTATACAAACGTAATTATCAATTATTATTTTATTTTATGCAACTAATAACTAAAAATTTAATGGGGGAAAATTAGTTGGTTTAATGATTTACATTAACGGTCGGGGGGTTTGTGGATATTTTTTATGTCTGATTAGATTGTATTACAATTTTCAATGGTGTTGGTTTGTTTTCCTCACTATAAAAAGATCGCATGGTACTTCGCATGATCCTGTAAAGCTCTACACAATTTACTGTACTAATAATGTATTAAAAAAGAGGTTAATTTGAAAAAAAAAAAAAAAAAAAAAGATTTCTTCGTCAAGCTTTGTAGTAATATATTTACTTCATCAGGACTTTAAAAACTATTCTTGATAATTCACCTTATTACCATATCTTGAAATCCGATTTAACTTACCGCTGTTTCGCTGCTAATACAAGCCGGCGTCCTACGAGGCAGCATTCTTGGTCCCATCCTTTCTATCATTTATACTGCTGACCTACCTATCTATATACGCTAATACCATCATCACCACCTACACGTATGATAGCTTATTGAAGACTGGTTTAAAAAGTGGAGGACAAGACTGAATGAATAGAAAGGTATTCAGTGAGGTGTTAAAAGTTGAGGACAAGACTATGAATAAAAAGGTACTCAGTATACGTTCACACTGTAAGGAAAAAACCTACACTTGTACATAACCAACAAAGAGATACCGGTTTTCATTAAAGTCAAATACTCGAAACTACACCTAGACGTGGAATACTCACTTAGACTTAAGAAACAGCAATTTAACAGAAGACTTTGACAACTACGAATACGACTTCTATGACATAAACCCGTTTTAACCGTCAACATTAAACTAACCTTATACTTTACTGCGACCCCTCTGGACATACGTGGTGGAACTATGTGGTTCTGCCAAGCCATCCAACATCCAGCGCCTTCAATGCTTCCAATCAAAAGTACTCAAATAGTCAAAACTCGCCACTAACCTCACTATCCACAACGACCTCAACATTCCTTTTGTCACCGATCTGATTCGTTCCCGATTCCAAAACACCAACCTCTCGATACATCATAATCCTACTGCCCGAGCCCTCTCTAATCATTCCCCATCCATGTGTGCTGGACCGTGTGAAAATGAATTGTGATCACATTTGTAATACATATGTGTCCTAAACGTATAGGGTACAAATAAAAGAATTAATTTTTTTGTTTTAAATAATTCACAAGTATGACAAATAACTGCTTACAGTACTGAAACTTTGACTTCATAATGAATTTCTGAGTTGATGGAACGTTCTGTATCGGAAAAGTAAGCTTGAAGGGAATTATTCTTTTCAAATTGGCCTTATCCCTTACTTTTTAATTGAAAAAAAAAAAAAAAAAAAAAAAAATACAGCTAAAAATAGTTTAGGGGCCCGACAAACAGCTGAGGTCATCGCCGGCCCTCTGCGCGTTTGTACTTCTTCCATGCGTATTTTTCGACCAGCAGCTATTTGAGCTTCTTGATCTGTTACAGACTCTCTATTTTGGGAGAAATTTAAGTCGACATCCTAACGTGCAAGCCTCTCATTTGTAACCGCAGGTTGTCGAGTGCAAAATAGAGTATACATACACATAAACATCATCACCCAATGCGAATATAGAAATTGGGTCGCATTCACTCCCCCAGAGTACAATATATTCCTCGAGGTGCTAAAACTGTAATAATCCATATTGATTAACAATTATTTTAATTGAGATTATTAGGCTTTCATTTTTTATTATTATTTTAGTTTAATTGCGTTTTTGAAATAGAAATATTTTATTCTGTAATTAAGTGCGGTGTAAAAAAATTTCCATGGTAGGTAGGGTGTTCGACTAATCAGCAAAACATGAATATTGGACAATTATTCTTAGAAGTATATTCATTCCGAGACATAAAATATTCCCATGGCGCAGTTATGTCAATCAACAAGTGCTGCCTAGAGGGAAACTTGCTCGTGGTTGTTTTCGTAAAAAAATGCAGGGCTACATTTTAAATAGGCCATTATACAAACGTTTCATTTATTCATCGTAATAACGATTGTTATATTGTGCTAAAGGTTTTTTTTTTTAATTTCTTCTTATGATAGTTGTTTAAACGGAATTTCCATGTTTCGCCAAAATTGGTGCAGAATTGGTCTTTTTTTCTTCATTTAAAAAATGTTTTCAGTTCACCGCAGTGGATAAAGTAAATCGATGAGAGTTCGGTTAGGGATCTGTTCTCTTCTCCCCTCGGTCTATTTTCGTATCTCTTGTTTATGTAACTTTTGTGGACGGTTCACAGTCCTCTTCGTAGATAGTCTCGTAAACTAATTCCCGTAGGGAATTATTATTGCTTTTCAACGTCATCTGACCCTATTTTGCCCTTTGAACGGTGGAATTCACTCTGAATAACCAATTTGACACGGTTATGATAAACATACTGTTAATGAGATTCGAAGGTTCTTAAAATAGAAAACTATGCATAGATTTTTTTTTCTTGTTTAAATTTGCAAAATCCCGCTTTGTTCAAGGGGAAATATCTTGTTTACTTACCTTTCAATTAATTATCTTCTTAACTTACCTTCCACAAAAGAGCCCTTATCCCAGGAAAAAAGAACCAGTAAACAACATTTGATTTACCAAAGAATATCTCTTCAAAACGATCTTCTAGAACATTTTTATTAAGCAAGACCGTTCATATTTCCAGCAAAATCTTTCAAATATGTATTTAAAAGTCCATCTTTGAAATTTAACTAAAACGAGAAGAGAAAATATTCATAAATAAAGTCTTAATCGATTATTTAAAAAAATTAAAAAAAAAAAAAGATTCCCTGCATTGACAACTACCTATCTCCTTTTATCCATTTGTTAAAAAACCTAAGGATGGATCGGCCTTGATAAATTCCTGGAAACCCCACATTTCCCAAATCTTGTATAAATAAATACCTAGGGATAATCTTGGATAAGAAATTAACCTGGAACTCTCACCTGCAAAACAATATAACAAAAAAATAATATATCACTTATGACCAAAAGGACTAAAGGCAAATCTTGGTGACTAAAACCGAAAATGACCCATTGGCTATGTACGGTAGTAGTAAGACCCATATTAACAATATGGCTCACTATTAAAGTAGACCAAAGCTCAACAAAACAAGCTAAGCTACCCACACATTTGGCAGCATACAAAGACTGGCAAACTTATGTATCACAGGGGCAACAAAAACAACCATGTAAATTACATTAAAAAAGTCTCTAATAAAGCTACTTTCATTTGAAATATGTATACAAGGAGAATTGAGGAAAAGCTCATTTAGACTCCAGAAACAATCAAATTGGGTGCAAACTCAACACTTTGGGGTCACAACAAGCAATCAAACTCATTAGGGAAGTTACACCTCGGTCTTTAAATTTAAGATACATGCCATAATGATGTGTTTCTGTGCCCCAGAAAATGTTAGAAGCGATCACTGGCAAAAGAAATCCTTGTAAGATCGAATAACCAAGCAGCTAAAAAAAATAACTCAAAGAAGTGTTTGGACTATTTACCGGTCGCTGGCGTCTTGAGAAAACTCTACCCAACAAGGGCATATTCAGTGTGGACCTCATTTGTAGATTATTTAATGAAGACGAAGAAACAGCCATTTACCTTCGAATGCGAAGCAATCGCTTAATGGAGACATAACCTGGGATCCAAAGAAAACCCAAGGAAAGGAAATGTAGCATCGACAGTCGTCCTTAAAAGAAGGATCGAATGGACAGACTGAACTAAAGAACTAGGAAAGTACAATAACCCAGATGCATTGCTTGGGGAACATAATAAACCCCCACTTCCTACTGTCCTTTCATCGTTATCATCCCAAATCTCCCGTCGCTGCTTCTCCACCCTCCGTCAATTATGGCCATTTGGTCTACGGTGTACACCCCAGCGAACTTATTAACTCAAGAGAATGACGAACTGTTTCTTCGGTTCATATTTAGCTCTCCAGAGAGATCTCATGTGTCTAATATATATGGTGGTTTGAAATGACTGTACAATCGCAGGCTTTATTTTCTTGGCTCTTTCCTCTATCAAACAGTGTCTTCCTATATTTATAAACTGTTAAATTTAAGTCATATATACTCGTCCCCGCCCTTTGATCTCTATATCCCTCGTACAAATCCACCGCTAATCGACCTTCCTACAATCTCTATAAGCTCACTCCATTCACCATGCCATCAACTCTTATAAGACCTTAAAAACGAGAAGAGAAAGAAAATATTCATAAGTAAAGTAAACAATTAATTTAAAAAAATCTGTGGACAATCAACACAGTAACCATGTTTTATTTAACCACGTTTTGCTTCAGTTGACCTATCCATAGGTTAATACGGAAATCCAATAGCAGGTTACAATCTGCTTTCCCTGGGATTTGTGTACAGGCTGACAAATTCACAAAGGGTGGATTTACGATTATCCACCCGTTCGGCCTCTTCGATGGACGAGCCAACGCGGGTTTTATTATTTTAATCGTTTCCGTCCCCACATTTGTTCTCCGGGGAGGGGGGTTATTTTAAAAAATGTAAAAAAAATAAAAATTGACCTTATAATGTTAATTTAATTTTCTGAACCATAATAAAATCGACTACAACTGCATAGTTCATACGGCTGGTGAAAAAATAAGCTAGATTTTTTTTTCATATTTTCCCTCTGTAAATATTAGGAAAGATCGACTTTTTAATCGGTTCATTTCGTGTCTGGGACTTGTTTAAATCTAAATCCCAACAATTAAACCGATCACAATAAGCCGCTTCCAAAAAGAAGAACAATTAATGTGAAATTATTCAAGTAAAAACAAATCACTTTTTGAAGGAGTGGAGTAATAAAAAGGAAAACTCTTTGTTGATGATTTTATCAATATGATAAGATGGTCAATTTTGTTGATGATTTTATCAATATGATAAGATGGTCAAGGATAAGGTAAAGGGGGCGTCGGTCGCCGCAACGGTTAGGCGTTGACACGGCGCTCATCACTGTAA